CCAGCACGTACTGTCCATCGGGTTCCGATAATCCTAGGCATGGTGCGGACATCATGAGTGCCTTAATTTTGGCAAAGGCTTGTTCTTGTTCCTCTCCCCACACATATTCGCTCTTTTTTCCTGTTAACCTCGTTAACGGTTGAGCGTGTGTGGCGAAGTCGGTCAAGAATCTGCGGTACCATGAAGCAACCCCCAGGAAGGTGCGCAGCTGTCGCACGTTTCCTGGTCGTGGGTACTCCATGATAGAGCGCACCTTTTCAGGATCTGGCCTGATCCCCTCGCGGTTGATTAACAGGCCTAGGTATTTGGCTTCAGACTTGCAGAAGACGCTTTTCTCTCGATTAATCGAGAGGCCAGCTTCGCACAACCTGTCCAATACGGTTTTTAGATGTTGTATGTGATCCTCGAAACTGGACGATACCACAATGATATCGTCCAAATAGGCGAAGGCGAATTCGCCTAGTTCGGGGCCGATCACACTATCGATCAACCGCTGGAAGGTGGCGCCGGCGTACGAGAGACCGAACGGCATTCGTACGAACTGGTAATGTCCCAGTCCGGGTACGGTAAAGGCCGTAATTGGCCGAGATTCGGTCTTGAGTGAGATCTGGTGATACGTGCTACTGAGCTCGAGCGTCGATATATAGCGTGCTTTTCGCAAACGCCTTAATATATCTTGCATAAACGGCAAGGGATACGCATTCGGCTCGGTGACTTTGTTGACCTTTCTGAAGTCAATACTAAATCTGTACGAAGCGTCCTTCTTGCGTATCATAACCACTGGGCTCGACCAGCCACTGTCTGCTGGTTCGATTACCCCTTGGGTTAACATTTCCCTTACCAGTCTATGCATTTCCTGCTCGACCTTGTGCGATACCGGGTAGTAACGCTGTTTAATTGGCTTCGTATCACCGACCCGAATCTCGTGCTCGATGCCTGCCGCGCATCCCAAGCCCGTCGGGGCTCGAGATAGGGCCTCGTCGATGGTCTTCTGTAGCATGGTCTGTTGTGTAGCCGTAACCTCGGCTAGTCTGATTGTGGCTAATCTCGGACCAGCCTCCAAGCTAGCTACTTCTAACTCCATTTTGGCCTGTGATCCCTTGAACAGCAACGTGTTATTGTCGGGATCAGGTACCGCTCTGAACAACCTGATGAAGTTCACTCCTAAAATACATTCTTCGACGAGGGTAGGGAGGATGGTTACTCTCGTCGGCATCGTCAATCCTCCCACGGTGAATGGTAGCAGGGCGTGACCGACGATCGTTAACTTACGACCGTCTGGTAATCCTGCTGTACCCGCGTGGGTGGTGTCCAATCTGACGCCCAGCACAGACGCTATTTGTAGAGCATTACTACCCACGGCTGTGGTGGAAGCTCCCGGATCATAGAGGGCCCGTATTTGGAAGTCCCCTATTTTCACCGGTAGCCACCAACGCGTCTCCTGTTCCGGGGAATATCGGGAAACAGCTTCGACGGCTCCACAGCTTTGCTCCTTATTCATCATAGCGCTAACCATTGTGCTGTCGCGTGGTCGAGTGACGTTACTTGCCGTCCGAGCCCCTTTGGTTCGGACGATCGGAATATCCATGGGGTTACTCTTCGACGATTTACCCGCCTTTGCCCGTGCCCCCGAGGGCGTGTGCGATCCATACGTCACCGCCCCGGCTGGTTTAGGGTCTCTGGCTCTGTTAACGTCATTACCCTCATTCTCCACATGCACTCTACCGCCACGCTTATCTTTGGCGTCACTAAGGGAGTTCTCGTTCTCGACGCCCAACATGCTCGCTACTAACGGCGTGGGCTGTGTTGGCGGAGGCTGCGAGATCTCTTTGACGGGGTTTGGGTTACTGGATGAAGGAGTGGGATCAACCCCACCTATCCACTCCTTTACTCGTTTCCCTTATTGCATTGGGGACAGAACTTTCTGTAGTAACCCAGTAGGTCGCACTCGGCACATTTGATCGGCCCTGAGAACTCTCTTCCTCGTTTGCGGGGAGTCTCCGGCCTTTTAGTTCGGTCCTCGGAAGTCGAGCTTTTGTCGGCGCGGTTATTCTTCATTTCCGCCGCTATTTCCTTAAGGGACAACAGCATTTGGTTGAATACGTCGGTGGGTAGAACCTTCTTCTCGCCATCGACCGATTTTAGATTATTCCTCATAATCTACAGAAGGTCGGCCCGCGCGTTTGTTTACATTGACGCTCGCTCGTCGGCAACACGTATTGCCGGGACGTTCGCTGCTCTTTGTTGTTAGAGCCGTTACACGCACGCTTCGGATATCGGAAATTAGTTATCAATCATGCAATCGCGATCGCGAAATGAAGCTGGCCAGCTTACCTTATATTTGCTGAGTATCGCTGTTTTAGCGCGTGGTTATCAAGGGCACGTGAATCGGCGGTGGCGATAGCGAAAGCGGGCGCACACAACATTGGTCAAAGCTTCACTGGTTCGAATTCTATCGCGCGCGTTCCGTCTGCTCGCGTGCCGAATTCCTTCGTTGCGTATTTCGTCCCCCCGGCAGGTGCTGCCCTCACAGGCAGCAGTTAAATTAGATTATCAGCGCTAATTTGACGTTTACCGTCACAAAACACTAATTAAAAACTGAAAAGTATTTTTGTGCAAGCTGTCATGGTAAGAGTATATGCAGTGGAATTGATGGTACTTGGAAAAAGTTAACTAAGCGAAATATCTCATAAAAAAGACTATTTCAAGTTCAATAAAATTGCATGAATATGAAAAGTGTAAGCTTGAATACATTAGTGTTATATATTGTATAAACAAAAACATGTGATTAAAGTAAATAAATTATCAGAAGAATTTGCCTAACTAAATGTATACATGGAATGCGATTATTCTGTGTATTGATTTCTATAAGTAGAGATTAATATTTCATTCAAAATATCGCGTATTATTATATTTGTAATAGATAACGTACGTTATGTGTTTGCACTGTGTGTTAATTTATTTTATTGCTTATGGCAAAGCTTTTTGTGGCAATCGCATGTTTTTTATTGTTGTTTTTTATAGAAAAAATTCCAAAGAACACATTGGAATAAGAATTATTTAAATAAAATTTGAACTGTTTGAGTTATAAGCTAATGTTTAACAAGAAAATTGGTAAAATTGATTTTAACAGATAAATTTATTTTCCTGAATATTTTTTGATGTAACTGTTATTATAAGTATTTTAGAAAAGTTCATTCTGATAGGTCAAATGGCTGTGAGAATATTTACTTTCGAAAAGAGGCACTTTTTAATTAATGATTTTTTTTAAAATTATTATCTGTTGTAACGGGGTTAATACCGTTTATTTAATTTAAGCGCGCGATCGTATAGAAAGGCGCGCGTGATTACCTACACGTTCAAACACGAAAACCGGAGAGCAGGAGGGAACGGGTGTCAGTCAACCAACTATCTACTAATGCGGAATAAATACGTCGGAAATATTGTTAGTATCACAAGCGAGAACTTTTATTACCTCGTAATGTTACACTGTTCGGCCCGCGTCTTTATGTTTACATGCCGCGCGCACGACAACGTGCCGTGTCGGATTGCTCGCCGCTCACGGTTCGCAGAGTTATTACATGCACGCTTTTTGTTAAGTACGAGAGATTAGTTATAGACAATTCTATCACGATCGCGAAATTAAGCTGGCCAGCTTACCTTGTTATCAGTTGTACGATAGCACGAAAGTGAAAACGCTCTCACCTTAGTTGCGGAAAGGTCTGTCTTTGCTGCGAGGTATCTCGCATTCTCAGTTTCGCCCTCGATGGTGAAACTGCTCACTCGCACTCTAGCACGCACTCCACTCCCTCAGGCTATGGTACAGCTTCTCTCTTGTCGTCTCTGCACTCCGGGAAACTCGGGAAAACGTCAAAGGTATTTTCTGCACGGTTTGGCGATCCCCAACCGGCAGGTGCTGCCCTCGCCGGCAGCCGCATGGTTGGGCTGTTAGCGCTAATACGACATTTACCGTCATAGTGTGCAGGAGAATGAGAAAAATTTTTTATTTTAACATAACCATCAACTGTTTCAAGTACAATAACATGTATAATATGATTATAATACTATGATTTCAAGATATATATTTGGTTGAAATAATTTATACTAGTCTTATACTATCAATAGATTTCCCACTTCTTTTCAACTTGATTTTTTCTATAATGATTTCAATGATCATTACGGGCTTAGCGAAGGCACTATGGCTTTGACAGTCTTTTTAGAAAATATCTCTCTTTGTCAATGAAGACACCAATCTGAGAACTATTATTTTTTTCCATCTTTTGCCTTTGGACAGATTTGAAGTTAAAAGAAAAGACAAGTGTGCATCGCGAATACTTCTCAAATAACCACTTTCGCGAATAACAAATTAAATTACATAAAAAATTCCTACTAATACTTAATAAGACTATATTCTAAGCATTATTGAATACATAATTCAACCAATCGCTATTTTCATTACAAAATAAAAAAATCGTCACGTATTAAAAATATGTATAAATAAATGTATCATAACTTTAGACGAGCTTAGCGTAACAGTCACAGTAATGGTCATTTATAACAACGCATATAATTATGTAACCATGGTTCATAAAACAACTGTATGATTTTCGTAACGACACGTAAAAGTATGAGATATCACGCTGAGGGATACCCTGGGTAGTTGATAAACTTTGTTACATCATACACAACATATTGTCTTGATTCCCTTATAATTTTGTACATCATGTGAGAGCACGTATCTTTTGGCATCTAATAACTGTCGATAAACAGTATCACATCATGCGATATCCCATTGTTATTACTTACCATAAATGATTAATTTTGTAATATTATGTGGAATCATTCTCAAAATCATATTCTTACATATTCGTTTTCATTACATATTCTTCAGCGTTTCGATCAAAAAATTTTCTATATGTTATCTATTATTCTTTTAGTATCAAAGAAAAAGTTTATGTAAATAAAAAATTAAAAATTACTTAATAATCTTAAAATTTCAGGTCAGCTTATTATATGTCCGAATTATTATATATATATGGTGAAATAGATAATCGAGTAAAACCTCTTATATTTACTGTAAGAAAATGGGCTGAAAGTGTACAGCTTACGAATAAGATGGTTCCTGGCCAATGCATTACAAATTTTTCGTTATCATTGATGGTAATATTTTTCTTACAACAAAAAAAAATTTTACCTACTATAAATCTTCTTAAAGCACACGCAAGTAAGTTATCTGAAATAAACACAAATTTATAAAAATAGCATATTTTCCGCAAATTCAATATCTAAAGGTTAATTATTTTCTAGCACGAGATGACATTAGGATAGCCGATGTGTGTGTTGATTGCACCTTTCATCGTGATATAACTAAATTACAAGAAGTTACAAAAGGTCACAGTCAGGATTCTCTGGAAGAACTTCTTCGAGAATTTTTTACATTTTATGGAAATTTTGATTTTGAAACCAAAGCAATTTCCTTAAAGGAAGGACATACATTAGCAAAACCAGAATATTCTGCTCTTTACATATGCAATCCCTTGGAATTAACTTTCAATGTTAGTAAAAATGTAAGTTTCCAAGAATTAGGAAGGATGAGAGCTGCTATACGATGTGCTGCATGGTATTTGGAAGATGCCAACAGTAATAAAAAATCGGAAAATTGGGGATTAATTAGTCTATTTTTGAACAAGAGTATAGAAAAAACTTATATTGCACCATCGATTGACATTGAAGCTCTTTTTCAAAGTAACAAGGATTTCACAATAAAAAAAGATTCCAATGTAAAATCAACTCAAAAGAAAAATAAATCAAAATTTTCATGATAAATTATACATCATAAATTTACTTAATTTTTGGATTTATAGTTTTACATTTCATTGAATATAGTGTTAATATAATGTTCATTGAATATAGGTACTTAAATTAATCAAATAATTATTTGATCTATTACATTTTTAAGAGAATACCTGAAGATTTGACTTATACCTTCCGAGTCATTTGTTCCAAATTGAAATTACCTTGGAAATATGAAATCCGTTTTTAAGAAAAAGCACATATAATCTAAATTATATAAGTTATAATCAAATTCTTAAACTTGTTTTGTAAATTTGTAGATTTATACTACGATATTATAATTAACATTTATAAAGAGTTTGACATCAAGTCGTTATGTCTCTCTCTCTCTCTCTCTCTCTCTCTCTCTCTATGACCATAACATTAAGAATATCATATATATATATAAATGTTATATTATTTGAACTATATCTCTCCTTAGCAGCAGCAGACGACGACTACGGAGAAGGTAAGAGAGAGTGCCGGCAGAGAGAGACCGCGTGCACGTGTAGGCTTAGCGACATGTATGTCGAACAGCGCGCCGCGCACCGCGTGACGAAGGGCCAGCAATTAGCCGATAGCTCGCGAGCCGTGCAGAGGCATTCGATCGTGCGTGCGTTCATATTAGCTTCTTCTTTATGAATCGCCTCATGGCAACAGAGAGACTTTCAACTGTGATAAGTGAGAGAAGTGCAACTGTGCGTGCGATACTTCTCCTCCTTCACTACAAGCGACTGCACTGTTAGGCGAATTCTGCAATCGTACCAAGGCGTAATGGAGAGGCTTCGATTAATGTAAGTACTGACCGTTCCTTAGATCTCTCTTTCGTTCGGCCTATCACGCCGCTCTCTCTGAACCGCCCTGTACACTGACACGTACATAAACTTTATATATTCGTTGCAACGGTAGTCGATTTAATTAATCGATCCGTTCGTGATTCTGCTTCTTGCGCGTTAGTTCGAACAATTAAGAGAGAGAGAGAGAGCGGGGGCGCGCGATCTTTTAAATAAGCAGTTACGCCTCAGCTGCTCAGGCGAGTTTACCGCCGATTTGTGTTTTGCACTTTGTTTCGCAACGGCATTTCCGTGACAGTTAATAGCAGCAGTACAGAAGCAGCATCAAAGTTATATTGAGGCAGATCAAGGCAGCGCAGCTGATTAATCGAGGGGCAGCGGCAGTTGATATTTTGCATCAACAATTACGGCTGATCATCGCATGATAGGTGCACCTTCCGTCATTATATGCGATACAAAATACATTCGGTATTATGTCTAATCGTGTTAGTGTTATTTTTGTGTATTCGCGTCGAGCGTTAGTTCGCAGTAGAATTCAAATCTTCTCTCTCTCTCTTTCTCACCGAACATAGTTAATTGTAAAATCCTATTCGCGTGCGTCTTTCATCCCTACAAAGACTGTAGTGATTTTTATTAATTAAAGTCTATTAAATTTATTCGCCGTTTTCGTCATTTAATTTTCCTAGTAGCTTAAGTAATTGAAAAAGGCTTAGGTTTTAATCCGATTATATCTAGGGGATTAAGAAGATTAGGAGTAAAGTTGCTCACACTTAAAACTTATCGAGTGTCACAAGATACGTGATTTAAGGTGAGTTCAACTCCGTTTGATAGAAGACAACTAAGATAAATCATCTGACGTTAAGGCGATTACACGTACTATCATACGTGTTTAACGGAGTGGCGGTTTGCTCTGCATCGTGGGAGTTTGTTCTTAAATAAATTTCCCATTTTTCAGATAACCTCCCCCGTTACATCGTACACTATTAAAATTGCATGGCTTTTCTTTCATACTATCTTTCCTTCCTATCGCTTCTCTTAACTTTCGCGATTTAAGCTGCGTGACCCACGACGCTCTCCGCGGGCCAGTTGGCGATCTGACCTACCGGGCCGATCTTGCGTAGCAGTAAACGCAGTGCCGCGAAGAGCTGCATTTGTGCCAGCCACTACTCAATCTCGGTTAATTAATATATTGTAGCGGTCTCAATCCCCGTTACACATTCTAAATTTAAAGGAATAATTTTATAAGATGAAAAATATTTATAAATGAACTGTCGATGACTATCTTATCCTGTGCGTAATTTATGTGGTAGAGGAAATTATTTTCTAAATAGCCCAGCCGGGTAAGCATGTCAAAATTGCCCTTGAGGATATCCGAATTCGAACTAGGGGGATCTTTTTGTTATCAAAAGTTATGACCTCAGACAAAATTTCAGGTCCCTAACCTAACATGGGGCAATATGGGACGCTGTTTTGTCCAAAATGGTTTTTCGTCGATATCTCGGTCAATTTTTGAGCTACAAAAAAATCTTTTTTTTTCAAAATTTGTGGTTTTCTAAGCCCTATAAAGCTGTTAAGTTGAAAAAATTTTTGGCGCGAAATTCAAATTTTGGCAGACATTTTAATTGAATTTGCCACCAATTTTTTCACTCATAGGTGCAACAAAAAAAAATTTTTTCGTATTTCTTGTGTCAAAGCAATACGTATGAATTTTTTTAGATTTTTAAAAGTGGTGGAAGGGCCTCAAAAAATTAAAAACGATTTCTTTCGATTTTTTGGTCTTACCCGACCTACAAATATCTGTAAAATCTTTTTAAAGTGTTTTTCAAACTTAAATTAGTTCTATAGAAGTCTTCAAAATATTATTAATTATATCTAGATCATAAAACTATAACTAATAAACTTTGTTTGCATGTATATTCGTGGAAATAATAATTCTGAGATTCTAATAATTGAACTCTACACTCACAACCCACACACACACACACACACACACATACACACACACACATATACACACACATATCACCATCTTATACTTAATTAGTACGTGAATAAAACCTAACCTAACTTTTCTTTGACTCGCGCAGTCGTAATCTTTTGGGGAATAGCTTTCCCATGTATGTGCGTGTACATACGAGTGTTTAAGGCGCATGCATACTATGCGTCTTATGTGTGAGAGAGCGTCAGGGCCTTGGCCGCCTTGGACTTGCGTGCTCTCACTTTCATTCCGACGTCTGAGCCCGCCTTGAAGTTGCCTCTTTAGAGTTGTTTAATAAAGATATCATTAGTTATATATATTGTGTGTCCAGTGATTTTACATCTGCTTTTCAGTTTTCAGTCTAACAACTTTAATTAAATGAGACCAATCCATTTGATAGAGCTCACAATTCGTAATTGGTTTTGATATATGTAGGTGTGACTCAATAACGCACTGACAGTTTCGTAAATATTTTTTATTAATCAAACCATATGCAATCTAATGTGATAATCAAGTTTTCAATTATTATAAAGTCATAATATCTGAGTGATAATTTTCAAGACTCAGTAAAGCACACATGGTGATTGAATTTGGTATAATGACCGGCCGGATTGAAAAAGTTAGTAAAACTTATCATTTTTAAGAAGAAGCGTTGAAAATAAAGAAAATAAAGTAAATTTTTATTTATTTGTAAATAAATAAAGTAAGAGTTTGATTTTACTGTCTGATTTTTATAAGTAAGGGCATCGACCAGTCGAAATTTCGGCAAAAATGTCGAAAAAATTTATTTAAAGAATATGATAGATTTCCATTTTTTAATTATTTAGGAACCTTTTTAAATTATTTTACCACATATTGGTGATTTTAAATGAGAAATTTTATTACATTTTTTAAAATAAGATACGTACGAAATTGTAGGTATATTTTTCGTATATTACGTTAAAAATTTTTATTTACAATATTATGAAAATATCTTATTGTACGAAATATTATTTTTAGTTTAAAAATTTTCAATTTCTTTTTTCTAATCCATATGGAAACTAGTTTATTAAAATGCCGCTTCTCTCTCATTGTCAAATCAAAAATTCTTTTCCTTTGCAGATTAGTATGGCAAATGAAAGAGAAGAAAATATAAATCTAAAATGTCCAGGCTGAAATATTTTCCTGAAAAAAATTACAGGATACAAAAAATCTCTAGATACTAATCTAGAAGTATTTAATTTTAAATCAACATTCGATAAGGAAGTGGATCAGAATACCGTTGTATATTCAAAATGTTTATAAAAAATGAGTAAATTATCGCATTAGATTAAAGAGAAGGTAAGCACATCAACTGTTGCACATCCTGGACCACTGGATAACTTAGGATATCTATTTCCTGAAACTCCACCTTTTGATTCTCAATTTTCTGAATCATCCACGAATAGTCCAGGAGTTATTTATCCAGAAGTTAAACCTAAAGAAGAAGTCGAATTCGTTGAAATGCCAATTCAAAGAACAGTATGCACTGATGCTTATTGCTGCATATATAGGTGTGACAGCAGTAAGATTCTCACTCTAGTTCCAGAGGAGGCTTGGATGCAAGTTTATGCAGATAGAAGAATATATATTCCTGCCGGTAATACACGTTGCAAAACTCACCTAAGTATGAACCGCTTTTATGAAGAAGAAGTTAGAGAAATTGACCTTTATTCTTCAACAAGTATTATTCCAGTCCCAGAATTATCAAAATTACTTAAACAATTATTTATTCGTGTAGATTCTGAAATTCACAACAGAATCAGTGATTATTCTTTTCTTGAGGAGCGCTTAAAAGTATTGACTGATGGATTAGATTGGGAAAATATACTAGAATTACGTGGTATGATGACATTCTTAACAAACTCTGAGTTTAGAAATGTGACATAGGCATTGATTGTTTTCCTGTTTAAATTAGTTAGTGGAAATTCAAATAAAATTATTTGCGCTGTCCTGGGCCTTGAACGCGAGCAACAGGTTTCGGATTTCTGTCTATCTATCTTGAAAACTTTTGATAAAGACGTGCTCCCAACACGATTTGGAATCAATGTACTGAGTAGAGAAGAACTAATAAGCCACAATACTCCAGTTGCCAAAGCATTACATAATATTCGAGATGACTAGCTGGCTTTGATTGCGGGCGGAACTTATCTTCGACACGATAAGAGTACAAATAATGATTATCAAAGAAAATCTTTTT